CTCCAGAGAGACCTGGGATCGTGTCAACATACCCACCCTCCCTGCATGAGGGCACACAGTTCCCATAACTAGCTGCTACCTTTCGGAGCAACTCCAGGGAATGCAACCTGAGTTCTTGGGAAGGGCTCAGTCCCCGCCCTCTTATTTGGCAGGTTATCTTTCCCCCTCCAGACTGGGCAAAGACCAGTTCTGAGTTCCAGATTTCCCCTGGAAGCTCAAGGGAGGAAAAGATGGGCTAATCTCTCCACCCCACAGAGAAAAGTTCTCCATTAAGCACATGGGAAAGAGGTTGACCTGACAATGAGGAAGGGGCCAGGGCACAGAGATCAGAAAACCAGGCAAACAAGGTTTTTTACAGAGAATTATACCCAGTGGTCCTACTCACATGTCCTATTGCATCATGGACCCTGAGACCGGACTTGCCTCAGTGGCTGAAAATGCTTCACATGAACTGAGTGCCAATAATGTAATGGGTGCTGGCCAGTGCCAAAGGATGGGCAGCCAGGAATGCAGAAAATACCAATCCCAGCAGAATTAGTCTGGAGTTTAGAGGGAAATGCTGCGACACCACTTGAGGGGCTGGGAAAGGAGGCAAATGGATAGAACGGGGGAGCTGTCTGAAAAGCTAGCAGGAGAAGAGTTGGTTTTTATACCGCACTTTCCTCTACCTTACAAAGTCTAAAAGCAGCTTACAATCGCCTTCCCCTCCCACAACAAGCAGCTTGGGAGGCGGGTGGGGCTGAGGGAGTTCTGAGAGAACGGTGACTGGCCCAAGGTCACCCAGCAGGCTTCGTATGGAGGAGAGGGGGATCAAACTCGGAGGTACAGATAATCCTTCGGAAAAAAAATCTAGGGAGCCTGACAGACAGAACCTGGCGTCTGCCAAAGTTACACCACTGGCCTCACCTAGAAACCTTTATAGCGAGGTAGGTCAGTTCAGTCAGAAGCAATGGGTGGAGCTATGCTGGTAGCTGGGAGGGAGACATGAACTGTTTTAGCACTCTTCCTGCAGTTGCTTGCCAGGGGTTGCTTTTCCCGGTATCTCCTGACAAGGCAGCAAAAAGACATAGTCCTCACCTGCTGCTGAAGTTCCTGAAAGTCTCCGTCAATAAAAGTGAACTGTACCTGTGAGCCTAACCAAAGATTCAGTGATACTTGGAGGGTCTAAACGAAGGGCCGTCCCTCCAAATTAAATGGCTCTTCCATTGGAGGAAAGGCCCCTTTATTTAAACCCTGTTTTCCTCCCCAATAGGCACCCAAAGCAGCTTACAACATCATTCTCCCCTCCTCCCTGTCCTTTAACCTCACAACAACAACCAGGTTCAGCCAAAAGAAAGGGAATGGCCCAAGATCATTCAGTGAACTTCCGTTGCAGAGTATGAATCTGAACTTGGGACTCCTAGATCCTAGTCCGAGACAGTATGGTGTAGTGGTTAGAGTCCTGGCCTAGGATCTGGGAGACACAGGTTCGAGTCCCCACATGGACACTTGCTGGGTGACCTTGGGCCAGTCATATATTTGTTGTTGTTCAGTCGCACAGTCGAATCGGACTTTTTGTGACCTCATGGACAACATCACGCCAGGCCCTCCTGTCTTCCGCTGGAGTTTCCTCAATTTCGTATTTGTTGCATTGGTAACACTGTCTAACCATCTCATCCTTTGCCGTCCCCCCTTCTTCTGTTACCTTCAGTCATTTTAGGCTGATCTACCTCATAAGGTTGTTGCGGACATAAAATGGAGCCAGGGGGTAATATTATAGGCCATTTTGGGTTTCCGTTGGGGTGAAAAGTGAAGTATAAATGATGCAAAATAAATAAATAAACACCCCAACACACTGGCTTTCATTTGAGCTGAAGGAAGTCTCTGTAGGCTGGAAGAAGGCTTTGGACTTTGCTTAGGGGTATGCCAGAGGCAGCTGAAAACGTATCTGGCCTGCATCCAGGGTGAAGGTTTCACTACTCACTGTGATCACCGAATCGCCGACTGAAGCATCTTCACTGATGACGGCGCTGTAGACTTCTTGGCTGAACCTCGGAGCGTTGTCATTAACGTCCGTCACGTTGATATTCACAGTCGTCACCGCACTCAGCGCTGGGCTGCCCCCATCTTGGGCTTCCACAACGAGGTAGAAATCCTTACACATCTCATAGTCCACAGCTTCGACGACAGATATGGACCCTTGAAAATGGAAACAGGCATTTAATACAGGACAAACACAAGGACAACAGCAATCCTTTGAATATCAACGTTAGCGATGATAGCCAGAGAACACCGAACCCCCACTTTTAAGATTCTGCAGGAAGAGGGTGTGTTCCAGTCAATGAAGCTGCAAGCTCTTAGACAGCTGTGGTAAAGTTCTTTAAGACTTGATGGTTGTACATACATAGAGACTCTTGAGAAAGAGGACGTTGAAACGGAAGAACATCTGCGGTTATCTGTTGGATTCCTGGATTGCTATGAAGCAGTTTTGGATTGCTGTAAGCAGTTTATAAAGACTTTCTGCTTAACCACTGGAAAGAATTGTTCTAATGATCTCTTCACAAAGACTACAAAAAAGAAAGCTTTTTCAAATATAATATGGTTGTTAAAGATTGTGATACCCTGTTGAAGTTATTCTAAGTGTTTGAGAATCCTTCATGTTAGTAGAAAGATACTGACATTATTGACGTATATATCTTTAAATAGGCACAGTTGATATTGCAATATTACTTTTAAAGCACCGCATATGGTTATAGGTGAGTGTTACCTGTTAGAATGATCTCAATATAGAACACAGCATGTTGTTTAAAAAAAACCCAACAACATTAGCAATGATAGCCAAGAGTCATTCTATATAACCAGGGCTATTTTTTTGCTTCGTTTTGCTACTCTGCAATTAACTAAGTAGGGTAAAATGACACTGAAATCCTCATGATGTTGGAAAAGCCAGATTTGAAATGCACAGAAGTTGCAGCTCGATTCGTGTCAAAGTTACCTCCATCAAATACCCCTAGCTTACACCCCGAAAATCTCATCCGTCTCTAAGGTGCTACTGAACTCAAATCTAGGTATTCTACGGCAAACCAACAGAAGTTGCAAAAGTTGAATTTTTTAAGTTGGTCTTAAAACCAAAGCAGAACACAGTATCAGTACAGTTTGAGCTGGTTTGTCAACCATACGAACAGGCAGGGGGCCACTGCTAGCTAAAACTTACCCCCCCCCATATGTGGTTTTGAGTTCTGGATCCTCTCCACAAGCATATGTGCCCCCTGCCCTCCCGTGTGCTGTGTGTTCAGCCATCCACCAGCACAAAATATCCATTTGTCCGCGGAGAAGAAGATTTTCTTTCAAAGCCTTGATCGAGCATTTTACATAATTACAGGATGGCCTGAAATTTTCAGCTCCTGCTACCCAAGCTCTCGATAAGGGAGCTGTCACATGTTAATGCATAATGAATGCCCCTTTCGTCCTCTTTGGTGATTAAACGTCACTGAGGGTTTCTTAATGATTTATCTCCTCGCTTTCATTGTAAAATACAGCTTTAACACCATTATTTCCCCTACCTCTTCTTCCGGAGGTGTTGTTGATATGCTGATGTCATTCCAGCCCCCCCCCCAACTATAAACCTTAAAAAATGTACTTGAACAGTTTTTTAAAAATATATATATAAACCCTTTTGACTAAGAAATGAGTTTTAGTAAGCAGGGGGATAAGGAAAATGAGAGGAATGACGGCCACCCAGAGTAGCGGGGGAAGAACATTAACTCATCAATCTAGGCCAATCATTTTTGAAAGAAAAAAAGAGGGCCTCTCTGGGTTGATGAAGATCAAGGGTCCAAAGAAGTCGCTTCTTTTCCTCCTCTGTGTTATGTCCAGCAGCCACAACAACATCATGTTAAATTAGGCCTGGAGGGGATCCAGGTTAAAATCCCTGATTAGCCAAGAAGTTCACTAGGTGATACTTGTAGTCTCAGGTGGTAAAATCATGGCCTGAAAAATCTGTTTTCCCACCCCTCTGTCTTCCTAAATTCTAGCCCAATGAAGAGTTCTAATGAGCTCAAATGCGCCTTTTGTGTCAATTTGGTCAGTCCTAATATAAGATATGATGTAGATTTTATTCTTGGTGTTGAAATTTGGGCAGACCAGTTTTGTGACTCTGGACAACTTTCCCCTTAATCCCGGACCTGTCATTCTCTTATAGCCTAACCTGCCTTTAAAGATTGCTGAGCATAAAGTGAAGGAGAGGAAAACCAAGCATGGTGCTCCGAACTCCTTGGAGGCAGACATTGCTGTGATTTTTTCCCTCTCTGTGTTTAAACGGGGGAAAAATGAGAGCGAGAGCGAGAGCGAGAGAGAGAGAGAGAGAGAGAGAGAGAGAGAGAGAGAGAGAGAGAGAGAGAGCAATCTAGGGGATATTGAAATCAGGAGTGGAGTAACTGTATGTACTTCAGCAGGCTTTAAAAGGAGGTTAGACAAGTGAATAGAAGATGGGTCTATCAATATCTGTTAGGCATAGCAGCTAAACAAAATTTCCATGTTCAGAGGCCATGCCTCCCTGGATACTTGGGGTCCTATTAAAGGAGAGTGCTGTAATCTTTCTGTCTAGCTCGCAAGCTTCCCAAAGTCATCTATTTGTCAGCGCTGAAAAGAGGATGCAGTGAGTCTGATGCAGCAAGAATGTCCTTATAGTGGTCCACACAGGGTAGGGTCAGAAGGCATGCTGGGAACGATGGCATTTGATAGGACTACGGACATTTTATGGGATCCCAAAGGAGAAGAACCCACCAAACATGTGAGGCTGCTGTATTATGGAGTCAGACCATGGTCTGTCAAGGTCAGCATTGCCTCCTCTGACTGGCACCAACTCTCTAGGGTCACAGGTAAAGGTCTTTCTCATCACCTATGATCTGACCCTCTTTAACTGGATATAATGGGAATTGAACCTGGTGCCTTCTGCACAAAATGCAGGTGCCGTACCACTGAGCTACAGCCCTGCCCTTGGCAACTGGAACTCTGAAAAAGCACCATGGGGGAACCAAAGTGCACAGAGCTAACCCAATGAAGGACACCCTAGCTCTTTCACTGGCATGTGATGAAGAAGAGTTGGATTTATACCCTGCCCTTCACTCGGCGTCTCAGAGAGGCTTACAATCTCCTTCCCTTCCTCTCCCCACAACAGACACCCTGTGAGGCAGGTGGGTCTGAGAGAGCTCTGAGAGAACTGCTCAAGAGAACAGCTCTGAGAGAACTGTGACTCACCCAAGGCCACCCAGATGGCTGCATGTGGAGGAGTGGGGAATCAAATGCGGTTCTCCAGATAAGAGTCCACCGCTCTTAAGCACTACACCAAACTGGCTCACAAGGAGAGTGTGTGGGATGAAGGAGAGTGGGCGGGATGACAGAGCCTGCAGTAGGAAGGCTCTGATTGGAAAGACACTGGGGTAGGGGATCCTTCATCATGTATCTCTTTGTCTAGAAGGTAACGGAATCGGGTTGATTTCTGAATTTCTAATGCCTGCTTTTCAGACCCCCTCAAATACTCTTTTCCAGTTCAGTTCTCCCTTGTGTAGACTGGACGCGTGAGCCTTTATTTTCACACCCCTTTTTAGATTTGAGCCCGGAAGCTCTGCAGAGCCCAGCAAGATTTTTTGGGGTATGCGCTTTCAAGAGTCAAATCTCCCTTTGTCATATACAGGTAGGAATGGACATCCCAGAGTCTTTATATCCCGGTCTGAAGGTGGAATCTCTGTTCCTACTTGTATCTGACGAAGGGAGCTTTGACTCTTGAAAGAAGAAGAGAAGAAGAGATTGGATTTATACCCCGCCCTTCACTCGGAATCTCAGAGCGGCTTACGAACTCCTTTCCCTTCCCCTCCCCACAACAGACACCCTGTGAGGTAGGTGGGCTGAGAGAGCTCTGAGAGAACTGCTCGTGAGAGAACAGCTCTGAAAGAATTTGTGACTGACCCAAGGTCACACCAGCAGCTGCATGTGGAGAAGTGGGGAATCAAACCCAGTTCAACCAGATTAGAGTACGTGCACACCAAGCTTATGCCCCCCAAATCTTGTGGGTCTCTAAGGTGTGACTGGGTTTGAATCCAGCTGTTCTATTGCAGACCAACATGGCTACCCTCTGAAACAATGCCATTTTCTGTTTCCTTTCACTGAGATTTTCCTGTAGGCATTTATGCTTCAATAAGCCAGCATTATACATTAGACATGCATTTTATGCATACACGATATACAATGAATGTATAAATGTGTTAGAAAAATTGGGCATTAAAAGAGAATCATACAACATGCACGGGAATGAATCTACAAAAACAAAGCCAAAAGAAGGAATGGAAAACGTTGTCAACACACAAACATTACAGGAAACGAAATAGGGAATATTAATTCATTCCTATTACAGATTAACTCTCTCTCTACCTCTCTTTTTTGTGGGCCTTCCAAAAGATGTTGCCTCGGGCACTCTAAAGGATGCTTTGAGCCCACGGCAATTGCTCATTTTCTCTCTCTCTCTGTGATAGGGGGAAATTGAGAGAAGGGGGCCATTTTGCTGGGTGGGGAGGGGAGAGGGCCCCATCCACAAACTTAAATTGTGCAGAGGCTGCCGTAAGGAAAGGTAATGCAGGAAGTTACGTGTTGGTTGGGAGCAGCAGAAGATGAAATCCTGACAGCCTTTCTGAATGCATTTTCTGGTTGGTTTAAGCCACTGCAATTGGCTGATTTCAATATAGGATTAGGTGGTAAATCCACGTGCATTTTTTGCTGTTCAACTTGAGGGAATTCCAAACATGGTTGGTATGATAAAGTTGCTGATAGCTCACTGGATTTCAAAAGTTGGGTAAAGGAAAGTCCATCATAATAAGGGGAACTGAAGCAGTCATATCTATACAGACTTAACATTTAATGTACCCAAATATTTCAGAGACGAGGTTGTGTCCACGAATACAAATCTATAGGCAGGCTCTGCACGGGTAATGGGAAACTCAAAGGCTGATGGACAAACCTGCATGCATGAGTCAAAATCAACTCTGTAACATTGCAGTTTTCCAAATAACACAAATACAAGCATCGATAAGGCTAGTGGTAAATCAGCCCGACAACATAGGCATGGAGAATAACATTAAATGGTAGAATATTACGTTGTTGTTGTTCAGTTGCACGGTCGGGTTTATGCCAATAACAATTCCAAGAGTTTTAGCACTTTGTCAAAAGACTAGGTTGGTGCAGGCTTTGCAGGAAGGAAGGGAATGCATGAGGCAATGAAGGGTTATTGGTCTATCTTAGACTACTCTACCTTAGACTACTTATACTATACATCCATCTAGCTTTATATTATCTACTTTTCCATGAAGTCCACTGGTATGTTATTGGTCTATCTTAGACTACTCTACCTTAGACTACTTATACTATACATCCATCTAGCTTTATATTATCTACTTTTCCATGAAGTCCACTGGTATGTTATTGGTCTATCTTAGACTACTCTACCTTAGACTACTTATACTATACATCCATCTAGCTTTATATTATCTACTTTTCCATGAAGTCCACTGGTATGTTATTGGTCTATCTTAGACTACTCTACCTTAGACTACTTATACTATACATCCATCTAGCTTTATATTATCTACTTTTCCATGAAGTCCACTGGTATGTTATTGGTCTATCTTAGACTACTCTACCTTAGACTACTTATACTATACATCCATCTAGCTTTATATTATCTACTTTTCCATGACGTCCACTGGTATGTTATTGGTCTATCTTAGACTACTCTACCTTAGACTACTTATACTATACATCCATCTAGCTTTATATTATCTACTTTTCCATGAAGTCCACTGGTATGTTATTGGTCTATCTTAGACTACTCTACCTTAGACTACTTATACTATACATCCATCTAGCTTTATATTATCTACTTTTCCATGACGTCCACTGGTATGTTATTGGTCTATCTGAGACTACTCTACCTTAGACTACTTATACTATACATCCATCTAGCTTTATATTATCTACTTTTCCATGAAGTCCACTGGTATGTTATTGGTCTATCTTAGACTACTCTACCTTAGACTACTTATACTATACATCCATCTAGCTTTATATTATCTACTTTTCCATGAAGTCCACTGGTATGTTATTGGTCTATCTGAGACTACTCTACCTTAGACTACTTATACTATACATCCATCTAGCTTTATATTATCTACTTTTCCATGAAGTCCACTAGTATGTTATTGGTCTATCTTAGACTACTCTATCCTACCCAATAGAGTTTCTATGATGATAAAAGGGAAAGGGGAACAGCACCTAATTCACCATTCTCAGTTATTTGAAGGAAGGAAGGGATAAAGATTCAATAAATACCTCCAGTCATGGACCTGCACATTTCTATAGAGAAGGACACCGTTGTTATCCTACTGTTATCCATGGCAGTGAGAGATGGTTCATGGTGCACCAATGAGTCCCATTTCAAATGCCAGTGGACCTTGAAGCATCTCTCACCCACCCAGGTAACAGCAAGATAAGAAAACTGTCCCCCCTACCGGGGTTGCTGCGGTGCTTCTGCAGTTCTCTGGACTGGACCCTACATCTCATCTATTTTTTAAACAAACCCTGCGAGCTCTCTGAACCCTGAGGGCACACAGTTTGAACTAACAAATTAAGAAGTTTCCTGTTTTGTTTTGATGGGCACGGTTTTACATACCTGTTGTTGAATTGATCCGGAATTTCGCCTTTTCGTTCCCAGACCGGATGAGGTAGGTGATCTCCGCGTTGGTGCCAATGTCTTTGCTTGTGGCAAAGACAGAAAGAATCTCAGCGCTGGGCGAGGTGTCCTCGGGCACAGTAACAAGGTAATCTCTTCTTTCAAACACCGGAGGGTTGTCATTAATGTCTAGGACTGTGATTGTAACCGTGGCGAATGAGGACAGGGTCTGCACAATGCCCTGGTCAGAGGCCCTCACAGTGATGTTGTAGGAAGGCTGAAGTTCTCTGTCCAGCGGGTGTTCCAAAATGATGATTCCTGAGGACTTGTCTACAGAGAAAAAACCTTCTGAAGAGTCTGCGAGGGAATAGACAATCTTTCTATTCACACCTGTGGGGAAAAGAAAACAAAGCACTGTTATCTCGTTGATTTAACTATTTAGATACATATTCTCTGCTTTTCTCCCTAAGGACACCTGAAGTGGCATCATTGTCTCCTCCTTCCATTTTATACTCACAACAAAGGCTGAGGGAGAAGTCAACCAGTAAGCCTCCATGGTTGAGCAGGGATTCAAACCTGGGTCTTCCCAGTCCCAGTCCAACATTAACCACTCCTCAACACTTGAGGACAAAAACAAATGGACAGAAGTACCACAGAGCTGAGCAGCGGAGTATCATATTTACATCTCAAGAGAGCTCTTTGCAGATATTCTACATGGGAAGAAATGAAGAAGGGAATGGGACCATGGTGGCATGTTACACCCTCAAATCATGGGGGTTCACTGGAACATACCGTGTTTCCCCGAAAATGACACACTAGGGCTTATACCACAAATGCATAGAAATCCTGCTAGGGCTTATTTTTTGGGTAGGTCTTATTTTAGGGGAAACAGGGTATATATGGAATATGTCTCCATGTAATCAGCAAACCTATTTTTTCCATGATTCCTGATTGCATGGAGAAAGCCCTATGCATCTACACATGTACATGCACTGGCACTGTCTACGCGATGGTCACCTCGAGGCTAGACTACTGTAATGCTCGCTACATGGGGCTGCCTTTGTTGATGATCCGGAAGCTGCAGCTAGTGCAGAACACAGCGGCCAGGCTGTTGATGGGCTCCCCTAAATGGGAGTCCATCCAGCCTGTGCTAAGAGAACTGCACTGGCTGCCAATCCGTTTCAAAGTGCTGGTACTTACCTTTAAAGCCCTAGATAGCCAGGGTCCGACCTACCGGACCGCCTTTCCCCATATATATCCCGAAGAGCACTTCGGTCAGGGACACAAATCACCTGGCAATCCCAGACCCCAAGGAGGTAAGGCTTGCGGTGACCAGGGCCAGATCCTTTTCAGTGGTGGCCCCTACCTGGTGGAACAAGCTCCTAGAGGAGATCAGGGTCCTGCGGGACCTCATGCAGTTCCGCAGGGCCTGCAAGACGGATCTCTTCTGCCAGGCTTTTACATAGGGGCTGCCACTACCACCACTACCACCATCATGTGGTTAATAACGGGATGGAAGGACGGCCACGGAAGATCTGCCAAAATACTACACGGCACTGGTACCACCGGACTATGTATCAACTGTAGGCAATACCACCTTTAATAGCAGCCTGATATTACCCTGCAAACTATGGGGACCATCCTGTTCTTACTGAGCACTTTATTCTTTGTTGATTAATGGTTTTACTGTTTTACTGTGTTTTATGTGTGAGCACTAGTGCTCTCTTGTAAGCTGCCCTGAGCCCGCTTGCGGGGAGGGTGGGGTATAAATATAATAAATAAATAAATAAATACATAAAATATATCCTGCTCTGCCCTATGCATTCCTTTTTGCC